TCAAATTTAGTCAAAAGTGTGGGGAGCAGCTGAAGTCCATAGTGAATGTGCATTATTGGAATAATCATGACCATTTCATGGACATCAAAGCTTCAAACCCATGGAAAGCTGTCCCTGGGTCAGCCTCAGAGGAATGGCAAAACATTCCTCTTGTTCTCTTATGTATATTTATCAAGGAATGATCCTTATTTAAAATCAGTGTATACAGAAATAATCAACTACAGCTTCCTACTCTAGGACTACTGCAACCTGAGCCTGCTGTCCTGCAGAGAGAGGGAGAGAACTCCTATAGAGATTAGCTAATCTGCTTCCTCCTCCTCCCTGATCTGTAGGATGAACATGCTAAATTTACAGTTTTCTCTTACTGCATCTCCATCAGAGTACATATTCCACTGAATTCCAGCTTTTCTGTACATGTTTGTCATTTCTTCACTCCCTTTTACTCAATTTATGTCAACACCAATGCCTTAAAGATAGAAGCATAAAAGCTTATGACGAAGTTAAAGGTCCTAAGGGACAATCTACTACTGCTTTGTTTTATAAATAGACATGATGGCATCCCTCTATATATTTGTGTTTGTACCCTCAGTGCACATCTTTGCCTTGTATGTAGTAGCTTCTTTTTTGCAGTGTGTGGTCCTTAATTCAAAGAAGTATACATCTTCCAGGTGCAGAGGATTAAGTGACTTTTTATTGCTCATCCCTAAATTGTTGGAAGAGAAGACAGGAATATCATAAGAACTTGAGGATGATGAAGATTGCAATGAAACACTGTTTTCAGGAAATTGCATGATCATTTCAATCATGAAAAAAATCACTACCTGTTGATACTTGCACTGCACTGGCACAAGTTTCATCATGTATAAGGAAGGAAGTCATGAACTCCCAAGCCTCACTGAGGAGCTATTGATAATTAAATGTTCCTTGTTAAAGAATACCATTTCTTTAAGCATGTAGCCCAAGGAATGCTGCCTATGAAACATCAAATAATCCTCTATCCATCAACCTTAAAGCCAGTGGGTCAAAATCAACAGACTCATATATAGGGGGAAGTACAGTTTGGAAGAAGGAAGGGGTCAGAATAATTGGAATGGCCACAGGAAATTGCACTGTGTAGTCAATGGTGTCATAGAACACTGTATACACATATATATGTATGCATACACTTACACACACACACATACATACATAATACATACATACATACATACATTGTCAAAAAAGCAAAATAAAAAATGTTATTAGAGGAAATGAGTATCTTCATTAATATACATATCATTATATATTTATATATTTTTTTCTTTAAATAACAGATCTTGCTAGTGTTTTCCAGAATAGTACATATTATCCTTATAGACTGATTGATGAATTCCTTGCAACAGATCCCATCTATTATTATTCTTGGTGAGTATGTGAGCATTTTATATAAATTCTCTGAAAAGATATCACAATCTATTTAGTATAAAGAGTTTCTTAATCCTGAAAGTTAAAATGTTTCATATAGAACCAGTCCTCAAATTTTTAAAAGCTTTGGAAGAAAATGAAAATATTACAAACTCTCAAGCAAGTGAAAAATTCACAAAGTTATATCTCAGATACTCTTGGAGCCAGAAATTATACAAACCCTAGGGAAGCTATGAGAGTCTCCCAGGTAGATGACCTCTCAGGGAATACCCATTAACCCAGTTGCATTTAGGGAGAGGATTTGACAATTTCTTTTTCTTTTATTATAAATCCTGTTGAATATGGAATGAAAGAAGCACTTGTGATATCCTCCACCTTCAATACCAGACCTGGTTTTTTCTTTTATGTGCATAAGGAAAAGTTGGCTGAAACATAGCATTTTTCTCACCATTCCATGAACTGATTTCAGTAGAACTCACAGAATGGTTTTTAACTTCAGGATTATATACAACCAACAAGAGGTGAGAAACAGGCATGTTTCTGCATTCATAGAGATTTCTTTTAATTGTTAGAAAACACTTTAAATTTGGATTTCTATAGTCAGGCTAATATGTATTTAATGAAATAATCGACTTTTCTGTTCATAATTATATTCTTGAAAATTTCTATCAACTGTGATGCACATATTCCTTGTATTTAATGAAGATTTTTATCGTCAAAGTTAGGACACACCAAAGTGAATTAAATGATATGCTAGACTCCATAAAGTAGCAGTTAAAAGTAATGACTCCTTAAGTGTCCAATAAGTTAGTTGTTAGTGTGCAATCTACTTTCTTCCCTCCTTCCTTTCTTCTCTCCCCCATCCCCTCTGTTCCTTCCTTCCTTCCTTTCCCTCTTACTTCACAGGGTATTTATTTTCTTTCTTCATATGCATTTCTCCAAGTTTAATGAAATTAAAATTATTTTCAACTTGTCATACTGAAATTGAAGCCAAATAATACAGGAGGCACCATCTTTTTCTGTACAGTGTTCAATAAAACTTCACCATTTTTCTGAATACATACTCAGTTACACACTAGTCTAGTCCCCATTTCAAACCTTGAATTAAAGGTAGTATATTTTGATGTGTGTAAAAAAAACACACATACATAGGGTGGTGGCAGACAAATTGCTTTCTGCTAAGCTCTATAAAGCATTGTAAATGAATATAAAATGTTCTATTTACACAACTACATACTAACACATGGCAAAGGAAAGGACATTATAGTTAGAATAATAAACCTTGTAAAGTAAAGTTGTCTGATTTATGTTCCCCTCATCCACTTAAGTGTGTCTCAGTATTAGGATTCTGCATCTACACTGTTTAGGAAATTAAGTGGTTGATTGCTAGAGCGGCAGCAGTAATGGCCTGGCCCTTCTCTTCAAATGAGATAAATCACCTAGATATCAAAGGGGAAGTTTCAAAAATCCATTAGGAAGGAAATAGGAAGAAACAGAATTCTGTGTATTGCAGAAATTGTAGGACAAATGAGTTGTGCCATTTAAGGAAATCTGCAGAGCCACGATGAGGAAAAACCGACTTAGGAATCTGTAATGTACTTATTGACTTTACAGCCCTAGAAATTGCTTAACTACACATGCAAAATCAATTTTTATTTGGAGATAATAATTTTATATTAAAATAAGATTGACTTATGGAATTTAACACAAGTGGTAATAAGTAGAAATATCATTTCAGCTATAAGTTACTATTACTGGTATTAACAATGTTTTGCTTGTATGAAATATATTTCAAAACAGCTACATATAGTAACTATGCTTATACCCTCTGATAGTTTTAAGTATATATACACATTGTGTTAACAAAAACAATCTGTTATCAGCAAATAGAATGATGCTGCAATTAGCTTTTTTTCTCCTTGTATTAAGTGGGAAGGAAATGGTAGGCACTAAAGACACCTGGCATAGGAAGGTAGATACTGCAAGATCATCATTCAAGGAAATGGCTCAGTTACCAGTTTCTACAATGAGAGGTTCCTAAGCAAGAATGAGGACAGCTCTTTAATGTTCAAATTCATGACTCTTGGAGACAAGAAAACCATGGGTACTTTCAGAATAAGTTTAAACATACATAATATGTAAGCACTTACATGAAAGTCTATACTTGAAATCTAAGAGTGTTTGGAGGTGAGAGGGGTTTGAGTCAGCATTATGACCATTTATGGAAAGCGTATAATAGTTTAAACACACACGTTGCATATGATGTCGAGTTATGTTAGCACATGAGTTCCACTTTTGATAATGTAAAACTTGACCTGAAAACACATTTTTTTCCAGAACTTTAAGTCGAAATTAATTTTGTGGCTTAAATATTTATTTTATTATAAAATATTTTGATAATAGTAACAAAATTTATATTAAAATATCTTCACTTCTACTCTGTAATATCAATAAATGGACACTTAATTTTCCTATGCTTCTCTTGCCTATCATACTATAAAAATGCTTCATAGCTTAAATCTTCATATTATTAGTGTTTTATTTATAGAAAAATGTGATTATATATCATTCTTCCTATGGATATTTTAAGTATTTCTATGTTCAATATTTCTTTGTTTTAGAAAAATATATTGAGTTTAATAACAAGGAAGGAAATTGATAATCAATAAATGTTAATTTTATATACTAATAGAAAATACTTTGATATCATGTCATATCCTAATATAAAATATTTGAATTTAATTTTCAGAATAAATATTTAGACTGGGCATATTAGTACAAAGAGTATAAACATTGTTATAATTTGAGTTATTTCTTATATGTTTTCTAAAAGCACTGAATGAATAAATTTCATCTAATTGGTATAACTTTTACATTAAGACTTTTAAAAAATTTTATGAATATATTCTTATCATGTTTCTTGCTACCTAAACTCCTCCCAATTCCTTTCCATGTTCTTATCCCTCAACTTTATGTCTTTTTCTCTCTAAGACATATGGCTTGAAATTCATATTCATATTCTATGTGGAGAGGGCTCCCAAAGTCCATTTGTGTACTAGGGGTAAATACTGATCCACTACCAGTGGCCCCATAGATCTTTTTCACCTCTCTTATTGTCATCAACTTTTATTTGTAGGTCATTGTTCCATTGGCTCCTGTTCCTTGATCATCTACCCTTTTGCCTTATCAAGATTCTTCACTCACACATAAATAGAAAAATAGATTCTTTAACCACTATATAGAGAAATAGACTGTGGAGAAACCATCAGTACTCTGAAGTTCTCACTGAGATAAAATATCTCAATCATCATCATCTTCAGATTATCAAGTAGTCATGTGTTCTTGAGCCTGTGTCTCCAAAGTCTCCAGGTTAATAATATTTTTGTTTGTTTGATCTTAATATCTTTAATAACATTAGCATACAAAAACCAGTAATACTATGTACTACCACACACTCTTGACAAGAAAGTTGAGTACTGAACATTTTTTGCATTATTTCATTTGTTGATATTAATATTAAAAATAAATGAAGAAAATTTTTCTCACAATTACAAGTTTATATGAACAGGGTTACTTTGTAATTTTTGTCAAGAATCATGTTAAACCAGAGCTGTGTCACTGAGTTCATACTCCTGGGACTTTCACAGAACCCCACAATTGAGAAAATATTATTTGTTTTATTTTTGTTTTTCTACCTTGCAACCATTGTGGGCAACATGATAATTGTGGTCACAATTATAAGCAGTCCCTCACTCCTTGGTATGCCCATGTACTTCTTTTTGTCTTTCCTATCTTTCCTGGATGCATGTATTTCTTCTGTAATCACACCCAAGATGATCATTGACTTCTTCTATGAGAGGAAGACCATCTCCTTTGAATGTTGCATGACACAGCTATTTGCAATCCACTTCTTTGCAGGGGCAGAAGTGATTGTCCTAGCAGCCATGGCCTATGACCGCTATGTGGCCATTTGCAAGCCCCTTCATTATTCTTCCATCATGAACAGGAGGATGTGTGGCATTCTGGTGGGGATAGCATGGACAGGAGGCTTCTTGCATTCTATCATACAAATTATCTTCACTTTGCAGCTACCCTTCTGTGGACCCAATTCCATTGATCATTTCATTTGTGACTTGTTCCCATTACTAAAGCTTGCCTGCACTGACACACATATTTTTGTTGTTTTAGTGTTTGCCAACAGTGGGTCTATTTGCATCATTATTTTTTCCTTATTACTTGTTTCTTACTGTATCATCTTGTTCTCTCTGAGATCTCACAGCTCTGAAGGGCAGCGTAAAGCTCTCTCCACTTGTGGATCCCACATTACAGTTGTGCTTTTGTTCTTTGTCCCGTGCATATTAATATATGCACGAAATACTTCTGCATTCTCTTTTGAGAAAAACGTGTTTATATTTGCTGATGTCCTGACACCACTGCTCAATCCTATAGTTTACACTTTCAGGAATAAAGAAATGAAGACTGCCATTGGGAAAATGTGGAGGAGATTGTTTAAAATTTCTGGTAAACAGTAACTCATTTAAGTTAGAGGGATAAGAAGATGGTTCAAATTGTTATAGAACTTGGTGTGTGTTCCTAAGTACCTGAGTTCAAATCTTGATGTACATTTATGATTCCAGTACACCTAACACAGATCTTGGACATCAATTTAATGGCAACACCAACTTAAGATTCCATGCTTCTAGCTTTCTTAGACACTCATTCTCACACCGCCAGCTTGGCCCACTCTTTCCACCCATAAACCTGGATTCTCTGGGTAGCTTGCTCCCTTGCTCATCAGTTAGGCACTGCTAACTCATATATATTCTATACCCTTCATTCTCTGAACCACTGTGAAAGCATAGCTCTGTCTCACCCCGTAGAGGCCTCCTGGCTTTTCTGGGTCTCCTCACAATGCTTGCATGTTTACGAGCTCCTTCCATAACTTCCATAAGCAGCCTGCTCCTATCTCATCTAACTCCCTAGCACTTCTTGCTAGTCTCCACTCCTACAGAATTCAACTTCCAATCAACATCTACTCCCAATAAGTCAGGGTACAGACTTTGTTAATGTCTGATGTTTCACACTTATTTCATAAATACCAGCATATATAGTTTATAATTCATGTCAATTTATTTTTCTGTATTGAGACACAAATGTGAAATTTACATAGAAAGGTCATGCTGTTTGTATCTTGAATTTGTAGACTATTGAAATTATGGTGCTCCTGGATACCATTATTCTATATTTTCAAGAGTCATTTAAATTTTTCATGTCCTGTGGTGTTTGAAACAATGTAAAATGGGTATGAATTAATGCTTAAGAATATACTCTACCACACTGTTGGGTATGTTCCCCTTCTTAAAGGGTTTAAGGTAGAACTTTGAGTTTTGATTTTACTATCAAATCATGGACTCAATGTTCAGTCATCTTATATTAAACATGCTTTCAAATCATCTTACATGTAGCATGAAAGGAATAAATATACTCTGATGTCTATAATCCACATTTTCAGAATTTTTAAAGTGTGATTTGAACAAGAAGTACAGTCTTATACCTTAATTCTACAACCTGACAAAATTGTTATGGAAGACTGCTGCAAGTTCTAGCCATGCCTGGGTTAAATAGAGAGGCAGTTCTCAAAAAGAACTTAAAATTCAAAAATTCTCAAGATGAATTTACTTAAAATCAGGAACAACTCATAGGTGTCCACTTGTACTAATCCTATTTATATAGTGCTTCATAGTTTAGCTAATGCAATAAGAAGACAAAGAAAAATCATGAATTTGGTGACAGACACTTTGGGTGATCATCTTCACAAAATTTGCAATCACCTAGGAGACAAGCCTCCAGGCATATATATGCGAGGATTTTCTTGATTAGGCTAGGTTCTAGAAACACTAGTGAGGGTTCCTCTTGAACAATTTTATTGATGTGGAAAGGTCCACCTGGCAAATGGAAGTTATTCTCTTGGATTTTGTCATGAATGCTACAAACAAAAGCAAGCTAGTCCACTCTTCCTTCCACCTCGGACCAGCCGGAGCTGTGGAGCGGTTCCGCTCGCTGGTCCCCGGAGCCGCCGCCTGCTTCCGCACAAAGCGCTCCTCCATCTGGGCCATGGATGGCGGGGATCTGATGAGCTTCTTTCTCCTGGTGTCATTAACGGACCTTCTACCATGAACAATTCAACTCCTTCAGGTGTGTATGCTAATGGGAATGACAACAAGAATTTTAAAGGAGATAGACCTCCCTGCTCACCTTCCCGTGTTCTCCATCTTCGCAAAATTCCATGTGATGTCTCCGAAGCAGAGGTCATCATTACGTCTACCATTTGGCAAAGTAACTAATCTTTTGATGTTGAAAGGAAAAAGCCAGGCCTTTTTAGAAATGGCTTCTGAAGAAGCTGCTATTACTATGGTAAATTATTACACTCCTGTTACTCCTCATCTACGAAGCCAGCCTGTTTATATCCAATATTCCAATCACCGAGAACTTAAGACTGACAATCTTCCTAACCAGGCTAGAGCCCAAGCTGCACTGCAGGCTGTCAGTGCTGTCCAGTCAGGAAAATTATCGCTTCCTAGAGCTCCTTCCAATGAAGGCGCAGTGCTACCTGGACAGAGCCCTGTGCTCCGGATAATTATTGAAAACCTATTCTACCCTGTCACTCTGGAAGTTCTTCATCAGGTATTTTCTAAATTTGGCACAGTCTTGAAGATTATCACCTTTACAAAGTATAATCAGTTTCAAGCCTTGCTTCAGTATGCTGACCCACTGAATGCACATTATGCCAAAATGGCTTTGGATGGCCAAAATATCTATAATGCATGCTGCATTCTGCGTATTGACTTCTCCAAGCTCACCAGCCTTAATGTGAAATATAATAATGACAAAAGCAGAGACTTCACTCGCTTAGACCTTCCTACTGGTGATGGTCAAGCATCTCTTGAACCCCCTATGGCTACTGCTTTTGGTGCACCAGGTATAATTTCCTCTCCATATGCAGGGGCTGCTGGATTTGCCCCGGCCATTGGATTTCCTCAAGCTATACAGGTCTATCTGTCCCAGCTGTTCCTGGGGCCCTAGGTCCTCTCATACTCACCTCCTCTGCTGTCACTGGAAGGACGGCCATTCCTGGGGCAAGTGGCATACCAGGGAATTCTGTTCTGCTTGTCACCAACCTCAATCCTGATTTATCACACCACATGGGCTCTTTATCCTATTTGGAGTGTATGGTGGTGTACATCGAGTGAAGATCATGTTTAACAAGAAAGAAAATGCCTTGGTGCAGATGGCAGACACAAGTCAAGTTCAGCTAGCAATGAACAATCTATGTGGTCAGAGACTTTATGGAAAAGTACTTGGTGCTACACTGTCCAAACACCAAGCAGTTCAGCTCCCTAGAGCGGGACAAGAAGACCAAGGTCTGACTAAGGACTTCAGCAATAGTCCCCTGCATCGCTTTAAAAAGCCCGGCTCAAAGAACTTCCAGAATATCTTCCCATCATCAGCCGCTCTGCATCTTTCCAACATTCCCCCTTCTGTTACAATGGATGATTTGAAGAACCTTTTTACAAAAGCTGGATGCTCAGTGAAGGCTTTTAAATTCTGTCAGAAATATTTTAAGATGGCGCTCATTCAGTTGGGTTCTGTGGAAGAAGCATCGAGACCCTTATTGAGCTTCACAATCATGATCTTGGAGAGAATCACCACCTGAGAGTTTCCTTCTCAAAGTCCACCATCTGAGCTCTCTGTGAATTTTAGACTGGACCATAATTTCAGTAAAGTCTTCAGGCACAGACTGAAGCAGCTCAAGACCAATTCTGCCTCTTTCACAAAAGTAACTCTTTGGGTGTTTGATTGATATTCAAGTACATTTAAAACAAGAGATGTTTCTTTTTTTTCTGGTTTTCCCACCAGTGTATGATCAAAGGTTTGCTTATCCTTTGTACTGCAGTTTCTATGAAAATAACTTTCAGGAAAAAAGATGAGGAAAATATTTTTTAAGTAATTTAATTCCTCGAATTAGATTTCAAAAGGATGGACTTAAATCTGAGTTCAGATGAGCCTTACATGACATTTCTAATATCCTTTGTACTTTGAGGAATTTAGACATACAGACTTTTACAATTTCTTAATGTAATTTAAAACACTTACAACCAAGTTTTTAACTTTATGATTCAGAAGTTTCCCTGTGGAAAATGATGTTCACTTATAAATTATATCAGATATTTGCATCTATTGATAGTTATACTGTATATAGTATAACCACATGGAGTTATACTGGAAGCAGGTTTATAAACATTCATGATTTCTTTCAATGGTTTTTTTCACTGTATGACACTCCTTTGAATAATGTGTATCTACTCTTTCAAAGACTATTTGGAAAAGCAAAATGTTGCAATTGTCCCCAGGGATACATAAGTGGAATCCAGCCTGAATCTGTTAAAATATCAGCATAATTAATCATTTTAGGAAAAAAATCATGTTTTAAATTTCAAAATGACATTTGTCAAGTAATGTAATGTGATCTTGGAAAATTTTAAAAGAAAAATAATCCTACTTTTTTATAATTGTTTTCAGAAAAAGTTTACAGTCTTAAGGAAAATATTCAGGTCTATCATATGGTTTGACAGATTTTTTAAAAGTTATTTTTGGTAAGGTCTTCTTTTAGAAAAAAATTTTAAGGGTTTTTTTGTACCACTATAATCTCTAATACTCAGAATTACTGTGTATTTACTTAATTTCTTATTATATGCCTTATTATGTGCTTAAGATATAATAGATTAGAGTTTTATCTAAATATCTTGAAAGATAAATTGTGGGCTTGAAGAAGATTCTGTTATTTTTTTCCTTGTCTTGGATTTTAAGGGTTCCCTCCCCTTTTTCATTGCAATTTTAAGTGGTTTTCAATAAGTAATAGTTTTTATTCAGATTTTTGGTGCTTTGGTGTAGAGATGGGATAGGGAAGGGTGAGTGGTTTGGAAATAAATTGGTGTGTACCTGTAGGACTCTGTTGTGACTGCTGGTTGCCTCCAGCCTTTATGTAAAGTAGAAGCTGCAGAACTGTCTCAGTTCACATCTGTCTGACCTTTACCGCCTGTTAGGATATGTCTCTGGATTACTTGATTCTTTCTCAGCACTCAAGTGAGAACTTGATTTTCTTTGTTAGTGGAACTCATTATTGAATGCCCACATATTTGCAGTATGAAAGAGTGAGTTATTTTTTATACTCTGACCCTCTTAATTTTTTTTGGTTGAATGTAAAGTACATGTTAATGTTGCTTCAGAGATTGTTTCATGTAAAATTGTTTCTTTTTAATATGAAACTACTTTTGTTAATTATTCCATCAATGCTTAATCAGTTTTTACAATACAGAATTTCTCAAAGGGATCAATTTTGTCCACCCCCTTTTACTTTTAATATTCTCAGAGTTGATCATCTCATCTTTTAAAGAGTATCTCAGACTTCTATTTTCAGCCATTAATTTGGGCATATCTTTTTCTTTAAAAAAAAAAGAAAGGAAAAATGTTT